AGCTTAAGTGATGATATATTGTCAAGATCTAGAGTTTTTGCAGAGGGGCGTGTCCGTGGCATCATGACAAACCCCAACACTTCGCCGTGGAACAGGAAGTCCTTATATCTCAACCACACAAAGTCAGATCAGCCTGAAACTTCACATGGCTCATAAAAGTCCTCTTCTGAACACATCCCCAAAACAGTAATGAGTCAGTCATAACGCCACCTGCTGGCAGAAGGTTGATAGGCTTATAACTCAGCCAAACAACATCCGATCAGCCTGAAACTTCACATGGTTGATTAAATTCCATTACTGAAGGCATCTACATGCCAATCTTAAGTCATAGTTATAGCGCCACCTGCTGGCAGATGGTAGTTTGCATTATAACTCAACCACACAAAGTCTGATCTGCCTGAAAGTTCACATGGTTGACAAAAGTCCTCTCCTGAACACATTTACATAACAACATTGAGTCTGTCATAGCGCCACCTGCTGACAAAAGGCAGTTTGGCTTATAACTCAGCCAAACAATGTCCGATCTGCCTGAAACTTCACATGGTTGATAAGTTTCCTCTCCTGAAGACATCTACATGCCAATCGTGAGTCACAGTTATAGCGCCACCTGCTGACAGGAGGAAATTTGGCATAAATCTGTGATTTTCTCAGATTTTTTTTATATATCGGCTTAAATTATTACTGTTCGCTGTTCTCTGTCATCCTGAGGCCACCGGTCGGCGGTGAGCCCGGGTGCGAGGTCCCTATCATCGCTGCTTGCAGCTTTAATTATTATTATTATTCTTCTCTCCAATGAATCGCGATTTTGAGGGGCTAAACATGCCCGAAAACTCACGCAACTTTGCACACACCTCAGAAGTGGCGAAAATTTACGTTTTTTATGGTCTTCGGAAGTGGGCGTGGCAAAATGACTCGACAGCGCCACCTAGAAAAATTAAACGGACAAGCCCCCGATCCACGAATCACGCACATGCACGAAAATTGGCCCACACCTCAAACATGCCAAAACATACAAAAAAGTCTCTTGGAGCCATATCTCAAACCCAACAGGAAGTTGGATATTTTTGACTTCCTGCGACGAAAAAGTGGCATTTTTGCCATTTCCAGGCGTTGTATTTTAACGAACTCCTCCTAGGGATTTTATCCGATCGACACCAAAATTGGGTTTTGTCATCTAAAGACCTTGGCGATGTTAAATTGCGAAGCTTTAGAGTTTTCGTCGATGGGCGTGTCCGTGGCGGCCTCGCAAACTTTGACGATTCGCCACAAAACAGGAAGTCGTTATAACTCAGGCATGCATTATCCGATCTGCCTCAAAATTCACACGTTTGATAAGAGCCCTGACCTGAAAACGTTTACATGCCGATATCCAGATACAGTTATAGCGCCACCTGCTGGCCACAGGAAATGACATGTTTTACATCATAACAAACTCCTCCCACAAATTTTTTCGTATCAGCACCAAATTTGGGTTGTTTTATCTGAAAGCCCTAGCGATGATATATTGTGAAGATCTAGAGTTTTCGCAGAGGGGCGTGTCCGTGGCGGCATGACAAACCTCAAAGCTTCGCCATGGAACAGGAAGTCCTTATAACTCAACCACACAATGTCTGATCAGCCTGAAACTTCACATGGTTAATAAAAGTCCTCTCCTGAAAACATCCTCATAACAATATTGAAGTGGGCGTGGCAAAATGACTCGACAGCGCCACCTAGAAAAATTAATCGGACGAGCCCCCGAGCTACGAATCACGCACATGCACGAAAATTGGCACATACGTTAAACATGTCAAAACATACGAAAAAGTCTCTTGGAGCCATATCTCAAACCCAACAGGAAGTCGGATATTATTAACTTCTTGCGGCGAAAAAGTAGCGTTTTTGCCATTTCCAGGCGTTGTATTTTAACGAACTCCTCCTAGGGATTTTATCCGATCGACACCAAAATTGGGTTTTGTCATCTAAAGGCCTTGGCGATGTTAAATTGCGAAGCTTTAGAGTTCTCGTCGATGAACGTGTCCATGGCGGCCTCGCAAACTTTGATGATTCGCCACAAAACAGGAAGTCATTATAACTCAGGCATGCATTATCAGATCCACCTCAAAATTCACACCTCTGATAACATTCCTGACCTGAACACGTTTACATGCCAATATCCAGATACAGTTAAAGTGCCACCTGCTGGCCACAGGAAATGACATGTTTTACACTGTAACAAACTCCTTCTACAAACTTTATCATATCAGCACCAAATTTGAGGGGTGTCATTTCAAAGCTCTAGCGATGATATATTGTGAAGATCTAGAGTTTTCAGAGAGGGGCGTGTCCGTGGCGGCATGACAAACCTCAACGCTTCGCCACGGAACAGGAAGTCGTTATAACTCAACCACACAATGTCTCACCTGCCTGAAACTTCACATGGTTGATAAAAGTCCTCTCCTGAACACATCTACATAAGAAAATTAAGTCACAGTCATAGCGCCACCAGCTGGCAGAAGGTAGTTTGGCTCATAAAAACTCAGCCACACAATGTCTGATCTGCCTGAAACTTCACATGGTTAAATAAAGTCCTCTCCTGAACACATCTACATGCCAATATTGAGTCAGTCATAGCGCCACCTGCTGACAGAAGGAATTTTGGCTTATAACTCAGCCACACAATGTCTGATCGGCCTAAAAATTCACATGGTTGATAAGATTCCTGCATTGAAGGCATCTACATATGAATATTGAGTCACAGTTATAGCGCCACCTGCTGACAGGAGGAAGTTTGGCATAAATCTGTGATTTTCTCATGTTTTTTATATATATCAGCTTAAAATATTATTGTTCGCTGTTTTCTGTCATACTGAGACCACCGGGCGGCGGTGAGCCCGGGTGCGAGGTCCCTATCATCGCTGCTTGCAGCTTTAATTAGGGACCGAGCACCGAAACGGTGCGTAGGCCCTATTGGAATTGCTCCGTTTATTATTAGGGACCGAGCACCGAACGGTGCAAGGCCCTATTGGAATTGCTCCGTTTATTATTATTATTCTTCCGACTTCTTCCGCGGAATGAATCGCAGTTTTGAGGGGCTAAACATGCCCGAAAACTCACGAAACTTTGCACACACCTCAGAAGTGGCGAAAATTTACGTTTGTTATGGGTCTCGGAAGTGGGCGTGGCAAAATAACTCGACAGCGCCACCTAGAAAAATTAAATCGACGAGCCCCCGATCCACGAATCACGCACATGCACGAAAATTGGCACACACCTCAAACACACCAAAACATACGAAAAAGTCTCTTGGAGCCATATCTCAAACCCAACAGGAAGTTGGATATTTTTGACTTCCTGCGGCGAAAAAGTGGCATTTTTGCCATTTCCAGGCGTTGTATTTTAACGAACTCCTCCTAGGGATTTTATCCGATCGACACCAAAATTGGGTTTTGTCATCTAAAGGCCTTGGCGATGTTAAATTGCGAAGCTTTAGAGTTTTCGTCGATGGGCGTGTCCGTGGCGGCCTCGCAAACTTTGACGATTCGCCACAAAACAGGAAGTCACTATAACTCAGGCATGCATTATCCGATCTGCCTCAAAATTCACACGTTTGATAAGAGTCCTCACCTGAACACGTTTACATGCCGATATCCAGATACAGTTATAGCGCCACCTGCTGGCCACAGGAAATGACATGTTTTACACTGTAACGAACTCCTCTCACAAATTTTATCGTATCAGCACCAAATTTGAGTGGTGTCATCTGAAAGCTTTAGCGATGATATATTGTGAAGATCTAGAGTTTTTGCAGAGGGGCGTGTCCGTGGCGGCATGACAAACCTCAACGCTTCGCCATGGAACAAAAAGTCCTTATACCTCAACCACACAATGTCCGATCTGCCTGAAACTTCACAGGGTTGATAAAAGTCCTCTCCTGAACACATATACGTGCCAATATTGAGTCAGTTATAGCGCCACCTAGTGACAGAAGGTAGTTTTGCTTATAACTCAGCCACACAATATCCGATCTGCCTGAAACTTCACATGGTTGATAAAAGTCTTCTCCTGAACACATCTACATAACAATATTGAGTCAGTCATTGCGCCACCTGCTGGCAGAAGGTAGTTTGGCTTATATTTCAGCCAAACAATGTCTGATTTGCCTGAAACTTCACATGGTTGATTAAATTCCATTACTAAAGGCATCTACATGCCAATCTTAAGTCACAGTTACAGCGCCACCTGCTGGCAGATGGTAGTTTGCATTATAACTCAACCACACAAAGTCCGATCTGCCTGAAACTTCACATGGTTGATAAAAGTCCTCTCCTGAACACATCCACATAACAATAATAAGTCTGGCATAGTGCCATCTGGTGGCAGAAGGAAGTTTGCCTTATAACTCAGCCACACAATGTCTGACCTGCCTGAAAACTCACATGGTTGATAAGATTCCTCTCCTGAAGACATCTACATGCCAATCTTAAGTCACAGTTATAGCGCCACCTGCTGACAGGAGGAAGTTTGGCATAAATCTGTGATTTTCCCAGGTTCTTTATTTATATTGGCTTAAATTATTGTTGTTCACTCTTCTCTGTCATCTTGAGGCCACTGGGTGGCGGTGAGCCCGGGTGCGAGGTCCCTATCATCGCTGCTTGCAGCTTTAATTATTTATATATTTCTTAAGAGTTTCACATATAAAACTGAAGTACAATTAACCACATGGACCAAAAAAACAAACAAACTGGGTTGTTGGCCTGTTTGCTTACATACATACATTACTAAACTCTCAATGTTTGAAGTGAAAATGCATAATAAAGTGTGAACAGCTTAATGCACTTTACAGTACAAAGGGAAAAAAGTCCATTTATTAAAATGTTCTGAATGTGTATATCTAGACTTCTTTAAAATGTTGAATTGGTATAATTCTATTTTTGTACCGTCCTGTACCATTTCACTTGTTGCATTTTGTGTCATTAAAGTCATTAACTTTTGCTACTGTGCAAATAAAAAAAACACTGTTAAATCTGCAGTTTGTTTTATTGATTGATCTCTGAAACACATCAATACAAAATAAAAACATCAAACAGCAAAACCGTTCAGCCCCGTTCCTCTGTGTGACAGAACAAACCACTGTAAACAATGTCACATCTCACATTTACATTACATCACGGGTCAGGGCACCTCAGCAGTGCCACGAGCTGTACAACACATGAATACTAGACTAAAACCAGTTTAAAATTTAAATAAAAATCACTGAACAATATCCAAACACTTTTTATTATAAGACAGTGTCCAAGTAATATTGCACTGCATCCAAACTCCAAGCCAGCTTCCTTTGTGACCAGTGTTCAACTATAAAATCTAGACTATATCTAACAGACACTCCTCCTGGACCTTTCAGTTTTGCTTTCCAGAATCCACCAATTTAACCCTATTACTGGGATTTAGGGAAGCTTGTTTCTGCCATTAGTTAAAAAGGTAACTGACTTCCTTTGTCTTTTTATTGCACATTCCGACTTTGCGGATTTGTTTAGCCCCTTAACTGTCACAGTTTAGATTACTTTTTTGCAATTATGTAGGAAGAGTAATAAATTAAAACACATTTACTGTCATCTTACAACCTGTGGGATTTTTTACGGTTACACTTTAAAGCCCTAATATTGTAGTCTAAACAAAGCAGTTATGACAAACTATATATCATTTGAAGGCTGATGACTTCTGGGGATTTTTGATAGATATTAGCGAGCAAGAGTTATTAAATAATTTGCGAAAAGGATCTTTAGAGTGGTAAAGCATTACTTTGATTTCCAAATGTAATTTTTTTTAATGCTTTTTCAGAAGCTAAACTCAAATCAAATACCACCAAACTACTATAGAATTGTATGTCTACTTTATAAATATTTTCAAAGGAATTAAAAAATATATATGATTCATATTCCTCAAAACTTTGGGGGCGCTCTTGTATGGGCACTAATGGAAACTGAATGTCATCTGGTGGTCATGTTTGGTACTACAGTCAAACAGAATCTTACTAAAAGCTGATTTTTTAGGAGATATTTACTTCAAATTTGGAAATTTTTGGTTTTAAGATTTTTAGCTTAGACTTTTCTGTAAATTTTACGTTAAACAGGTTTTGTAAAATGTAATATAATAAAAATATACCTTTATTGTTTTATTATTTTCAGAAACAAAGGCACATAACTTTTGTTTTCGTATCACTTTTTGAACTTTTTTCCCTTCAGCAACAATCTGACATCTGTTATCTTTAAAACGAGACCAAGTTTACATTTTTGCACCAAAGAATCGAAGATTGACAATCATTTGGGCTTCATTTTCAAAAGGTAAGGTTAACCGACAGTTAAGGGGTTAAATCACAGTTTTAAATTGCAATCACACAAATGCTAAATAAAAAAATTAAATAATTATGAATTTATTAAATAGTAACAATAGCAAGAACGCTTATAAGCTCACAATTGGTGAGAAAGTCAATTCTGAGGGAAAAAAATATATCGCAAGAATAAAAATACAAAAAATAAGGTGAAAATATCTGACCGAAATTCTTAAAATTGCAAGAATTTTTTTTAACATTACTGGGGAAAATTTACAATTATTTTCTATAACAATTTGATATTCTATAACTTTGCATATGACAATTTGAATTGATTTTCATTGCAAAAAGCCTACAAAATTTGAAATTACTATCATTTTAAGTCAGAACTGCAAGATTGTCCATAAACTCACAACTGACAATTTAAGTTCCTAAAAAAGTTAGAATTGTGAAATAAAATTTAACTAGTCAAAATGGTAAGAAAGTATATAAAATTAACCCTGAAATTTATAATCATAATTCTGAGAAAACCAATTTAAAACTACAGTGTGTAAATTCACAATTCTGAGGGGGAAAAAAGCCAGAACTGTCCCTTTTTACCTTGCAATTCTGACTTTCTTCACCTCTAAATATTCTCACAATTCCTGAAATTGTGAGAAAATTTACACAAACTCTAAATCATAAGGAAAACAGTTACCTTTTTACTGTTGTTCTTCTTAAGTCAGCTTCCATATATACACAAGCAGAACACGTGCCCACATCTTACATGTTTGCTAAATCAAACTGACCAAGATGATAAGGCTGAGTGATTCACTCCAATAATGACAACTGAACCACATGCTAAACAGTCGGTATATAATCAAACACAGTAAATATCACTGGAAGGCTAAAGGCAGGCACTCAGTAAACACCTCTTTGTTGTTCTTCTTCTTCTTCTTGAAAACCCACAACCGTTTGAACAGAAGGCATCATTAGACTGTGAATATCATCACACCAAATCAAGGTCTAGGAAATAAAAACTGGCTTAATATATATGGTCTACTCCACATTGGCTGGCTATGGAAGATTAGAAAAAATAAAATCCCCAAAAACCGACAGGTAAAAATCCACTAGGCATGCTTGCAATACGAAGCAACAAAAGGTCCGAAGCATCCTCAAGCGTTACGTGGGGAGGAAGAGGCCACAGATTTGGTCGTTTACTGTCCAGAATTTAAAACAAGCAACTTAACAGTAGAAGAAAAAACAATATTTCTGTACAAGGGCCCATTATTAACAGTAGACTGAGAGTCGAGTCAGTAGTTCAGAGGATACATCACAAGTTGGTTTAGGATGTGATGTGATTTTTCGCTCCATCGTGGAGTCAATGAGCAACGTCTTAATTGGTGTAGTAGTTAAATCCATTTTCTGAATATGCTTCATCACCGTTGACTCCATTGCTCACCTCTGTGGAACAAGAAGAAAAGGGAAATACACATTATGTCCCATTATTTTTTACTTAACAAGTCAATGAAAAAGCTAAAAATTGCAAGAAAACAAACGACAAAAAAAATAAAAAAAACACTACGTACTGTATCAGTACTGTCTAGGTAGGCAGCACACTAGTTCAAAACAATAAATTACATATTTTTTTAACCTCCGATGTGTTCTGGTCTTAAAGGGATTGTCTATTGAAAATATGATGTTTGTTTCGCCACCCTCAGGTCATCCAAGATGTAGGTGACTTTATTTCTTTATTAGAACATTACCAGGGTATATATACAGTACAGGAATCAGAGAGTGAAATTCAATATCCTTTCAGACCTTTTTTAAAAACTCTTTTCATACATTTTAAGACTTCATCGCCACTTTAGGTTTCAACCGGTAACATTGGTGACATTTTCACTATTCACTAAATACTGATGGTAAGAAACAAATCTTAAACTAAAACATTGTTCATGTATATATTGAATAAAAGCAGTGTGTCGTCAAATGGGATTTTATGGATTTCATAAACTAAACAGCATCCTAATATTAATAAACTTCTAATTCTAATATATAACATCTTCTTCCTAATATATAATACACTTTAGCATACAAGTATAGAATGTAGAATCAAAAATGATACAAGATTTAATACCTTGTAAAATAAGACGTTGAAATACTTTAAGGGTCTTAAATGTCTCTAAATTGATTGATCAACTTTGAATACTAAAGAATCTAACTAAAGATCAATGAATCCTTTAAGCAAACTTTTGTGTGTGTTGTTTCAAGAAAGCAACCATTCGTTTGTGTTGTGTTTTATTTCTATTTGTTTTAATCATTTATTCTTCTATTTAATTATTTTATTTAATATGATCATAAGTCATTTATATAATTATCATTATCATTTTATTGATTATTAGTAATGATTTGATTATTATTATTATTATTATTATTGATTATTATGTTTTTACATTTTATATTATTATTCAGATTATTTTCCTATAATTATGGCTTCATAATTATTTTCATTTTTCCATATTGTTATAATCTTACAACTGTGGGTTCAAGCGAAACTTGTTTTTATGAGTAAGAGATTAGAGATTATCTCCATTTCAAGGACTGTATTGTCTCTGGACAACATTGTGAAGCAGTAGTTTTCCATTGCTGTTGCCATTGTGGTATAATAACACTTGTTTGGTTTATCCTGGTCAGACAAAGTCTGAGTATTGAATCATACACAACAATAATTATTTAATAAACTTTGTTCTTTTTTTTCATCATTCTTTCGATTCCTGCCTCTGCTCCTCTCTGGTTTTCTCAGTCAACTCCTACAGTATATTGATAGGAGACTGTTAATTCAGCTGAATACTAGTTAACAGGTTTGGGTATTGGAAACTTTGGTGATTATATATTGATATAATAATACTTTTTAAAACCCCGCTGACACCCTGATTAAAAAATATTGAGCTAAAAAAATGTGGTCTTTGATGACTCATAAAAAGACAGCTATCTGTACTTTTAGAGTAAAAAAACATACAAACACAACCAAATGATGATAATGCTTTGAATAATGTTGCATTTCTTGAACAGACTGATTGTTTGCTTTAAAAGATCTCAATGTTTTACATGTATTCATTTTGTTTTTCCTTTTCTTTTTGCTCTGAAAGCACATTTATTAATTTTAAGCTTCAGAAAAACTTTTCTTGGCGACGCAGTGGCACAGTAGGAAGTGCCGTCGGCTCACAGCAAGGTTGCTGGTTCGAACCTCGGCTCAGTTGGCGTTTCTGTGTGGAGTTTGCATGTTCTCCCTGCATTTGCATGGGTTTCCTCTGGGTGCTCCGGTTTCCCCCACAGTCCAAAGACATGCGGTACAGGTGAATTGTGTAGGCTAAATTGTCCGAAGTGTATGAGTGTGTGTGTATGAGTGTGTGTGTATGTTTCCCAGAGGGTTGTGGCTAGAAGGGCATCCGCTGCATAAAAACGTGCTGGATAAGTTGATGGTTCATTCCGCTGTTGCGACCCCGGATTAATAAAGGGACTAAGCCGACAAGAAAATGAATGAATGAAAAACTTTTCTTTAAGTTCTACTGAATAAAGAAAAATAGACACACACACACAACACAAAAACACAAACCCACACTCAAATGCACTTATTAGCACTCCAAATTTCTATTATTTTTCAAATATTTCCTAATTGATGATTAACACAGCAAGGCAATATTTTACAGAATTTCCTATTACATTTTCCTTCTGGTGAAAGTCTTATTTCTTTTAGTTTAACAGAAACAAAGTTTAAATTAAAAATAGTAATTTAAAGTAATTAAAAATGCTAATGTTAACCCCCTTAAAGTTCAACCCAAAATGAAAATGTACTGGTTAACTTAAATCTTCAATTAGTTCCAAACCTTTTAATGGTTTATAAACCAGTAACCATTGACATCCATTGCATTAGAAACAATTGCTAAGGAAGTTACTAGTTTCAAAAATTTTCAAAATAACTTCATGTTTGAGTTTCTTTTTTTCTATTGAACACCAAAAGTTTGTGACAAGTGAAGGGCAAGTATAAGATGACAGATTTTTAAAGTTTGGTTAACTATCACTTTAAGAAATGTTTTTTTATTTATTTTTATTTTTTATTTTTTTGACTGTAATAGACAAATGATGTATGTGGTAATGGGGTGGGAAAATAATAAGCTTGGACTTCATCCCGCTCCATTTTCAACCATGTTTCAACCATTTTTTTGTTAAAGATAATTTATGTATGATAATTCTGTTCGAAAATAAATGTTCTGTCATCATGGCCAAAAAAAGTTAGTATTGTTTAAAAATGTATTGGAAAAAAATCTCTGTTAAACAGCACTTGGGAAATATTTGAAAAACATCAAAAAATTCACAGAACTGTAATATATATTTCTTGAGCATTAAATCAGCATTGCAGAATGATTTCTGAAGGAACATTTGACACTGAAGAATGAAGTAATGATGCTAAAACATTTGTATATTGAATACATTTGTATATTGAAATCAACTTAATTCAAACTCCTTTAAATGATAAACATTCCACTGATGGGCTGCTTAAGCTTGTTTTATGCGACGTGGAGCATTTGAATTTAAGGTGTCAAATCCAGTTCATTGAGGGCCGCAGCTCTGCACAGTTTAGTTCCAACCCTGCTTCAACACACTTACCTGTAGATTTTAAACAAGTCTGAAGGACTCAATTAGTTCGATCAGGTGTGTTTAATTAGGGTTAAAGCTAAACTGTGCAGAGCTGCTACCCTCCAGGAACTGGATTTGACACCTGTGGTTTGAATGGTCAATTACAATAATCAACAATATCGAACCCATCTATGTATTTAGCACACCTACAACAAAGACACTGATAAAAAAAAATTAAAAAAAACAATTGAACTGCAGATCTTGTTTTTGATGTGATGAACTGAATGAAGGGTTAGTTCTCATCCCTCTCGTACTCACCATACACAGGCCACAGTTACCCTTAGCACTGATGCTACAGGCCTGTGTGAGCTATCATTGGGCAGTATGGAGTGATGGATGAGCGGATGGCAGACAGTGACAGACAGGAGGGACAGTGCAGGGAATGAGATGGAATAGGATGAAGGGATGCGGTGACATACAGAAGACTCAAACCCAGGGATGGACAGCTACTGTGGCTGACCTTAGAGACAGGGCAAAACACACACACAAGCATGCAAAGACTGCTGGGACACATGCACACACAATTATAAAACAATAAATCTATGATGTGAAAATTATTAGAGGCCATGATGTATGAAATAAAGTAGTTGGTGAGTGTATTTCCAAATGAACACCAACACTAGATGGCGCTAATGAGCTTTTCTTACTTGCTAGTACAAGATAATGACTTAATATATGAGATGTAAAATACAGCACCATCATTTTGCAAGGACAACATTTAAATATGCACATTATTAGCCATAATACAAACTTTGGAAATTTGATTGACTAATTAGAGTCAAGTATTTGGAAGTGCTGTGTAATAAGCTCATATACATAGTTCAAACAGACACACAATATGAGACACTCAAGCAGGAGGAGTTTTGGTGACTCTTACCAGAGAAGATGAGCTTCTCCTTCATGATGTTGACGTCTCTGCTGGATCTCCTGACGGCTGCGCTCAGCATGATCTGCTCCGGGTTGTAGCTACGCATGCCACTCATTCTCCACCTATCATCATGTGCACACACACACACACACACAGACACGCGCCTCAGTGCCAATTGCCACACAAAGACTGAGTTGGTGCTGTCGAATCTAATAATAACATGTGTTTTTGGTTTATTATTAAAAGTGTTGACTCACAATTCAACTCTTGAATCTCACAGTGATTTCTGAATGTAATTGGAAAATATATGGTACAGTTTCTGAACACTATACTGTATTTCAAATGTTTAAAGAGTATAATTAGATGTTTGTTTGTATGTTTGCTTGTGTCTTTTAAAAGAGCAATTAACATTTAAATTCAGATGTGATGCAAAATACATACATTTTATTTTTTAAAAAGTGAACATTTTATCATTTAATCAACCTGCAGTTGATTTCCAAATGTTTTTGAGTTTTTACAGTTTTTGATTTGTTGTGCAAATTAAATAATTAAAGATATTTTCAGCTATGTTGGAAACTGGTACCGTTAATCTCAGTAGCGATCAGTTTTCATCATTTAAAAATATTATATAAATACTTATTTTGTGTTTAACAGACCAAAAAAAAGTGGTTTTAAAAAAAACCTTGAGTGAGTAGGTGAGTAAAAGTGAACGTAAAAAAAGGGTCAATAATGATATATAATGTTACAAACGAAGACTTTGTTTTCATTAAAGAATTCTGAAATGTGTGGCTATGTACCAATACTGAAAGAAAATTACAAATGAATGCCTACTAAAATTTCTGTTTTATTGTCAGGGGCGGACTTAGTGATTTGGGGGCCCTAAGTAATTCCAGATCTGGGGCCCAAGCATTGAAACACAGTCTCTTTCTCTATAGTTTTTTTTTTCTCTGTATATTCGTTTTTTTTTTTTTTTTTTTTTGCAAATTAACTGCATGTTAAAAATACATTTTAAGTGAAATATTGATGTTCTTAAATGTAAAATTAAATACAATAAATTCACAATTCAAAAACAATCTCACAAACTAACTGTGGGAAACCATGTACAGTTGTACAGTTAATTAGTCATACTTGTGATTAGATTTTAATATTTGCATGTGCAGTACGGAAAGAAGTTCCACTATTCAGGAGGGCCCCGGGTTTTGAAAAGAAGTAATAACAGGTGAAATCTGTCTATAACTATTAAGATTTTACACGTATGATATAAATTTTTATAAAAGTGCTGTATGATTAATGTAGGCTTCTTGGCATTGGTCGGGGCCCCAGGGGCCTAAATGGCTGCTTATCTCGCTTATTGATTAAGTCCACCCCTGGTCACAGGAATAAACTATTAGATACTTCCAAATGTATTCAAAATTACAATTATATAAAAACCGAATAATGAATTTTGGTGAGAAATAAATAAATGCAGCGTTGTCACTGAACACAAGAGACAAAATCTGGAAAAAAAAAATCTTACTGACCCAAATCTTTTGAACTCTTAAGATTTAGATTGATGTACAAACCAAAAAAGGGCTGTTGATCCACAGTTATAGTGACCATCTGTTCCAATTATCCAAAATACAAAATATATTTTTCCTGATTAAATCTTTTAATCTGACACCATCTGTCACAAATGAAATATTCGGGTGCTTTTGGTTCGAAACAAAAGCATCTGATTGAATTAAAATGAAAACACTTAATTCAAACCTATAACTAACATTAATCTTACACTTATGCTTTTTTACATGCAATATATGCATGCATTTGTCAAGCTTCAGCTCAAAATACCTCATAGATAATTTATTTATTATGCATCATGTAAAAAAAAATTCAGCTACAACGTTAGAAAAAATTACTCTGACCAAAAGGCAGATAAACAACTGTCAGTTGAGTAATTTTCACCTTCTAGTGGATGAGGGCAGAAATTGCACACCACTAAAATATCCTTTACACAAACATACGAGTAAATCTTAATTGTGTAAATGCATATTAATTATATGTATAGTGATAAGCTGTGATATTAAAGTGTAGTCATGTGGGGCTGTTGTTGAGTAAGAAGAGTTAGTAATAGCATTGACAAAATCCAGGTAGAATGAAAGAAACAGGCAGATAGACTGAAACAGGGATTTGTTTTTTTAGAGAAAGAAGGGCAAGAAAGGGAGATGCACATTGGCAGCATGGGCCAACAGCGCTGACCCAATTACCTGATCATGTGATAGCTGAGAGATGCCAGAATGCAGCAGAGAAGAGGAGCATGCAGATCAGCAGAGAGCGAGAGCAGGAGGAAGAAAGGAGAGGTGGGAGAAAAAGAGTAAAAGAAAGGGAGAGAATTAAGAGGTCAGTTCAGAAAAGCAGATGCAAATGTCACTATGGCAAGCGCAGCAAACGTAGAGGATCCAGAGCTCCACACATTTACTGTACATGTGAAAATCAACATTATTGTAAAGACTGGTGAATGTGCAGAACAATCAATAAAATATTAAAGCAAACATATTTCCTTCCTTTTCCTGTTTTCTGTGGAGGTAATCAAGTCAGAGCATGTTTTAGTTTTGTAAAGGTCAATGTTAAATTTTAATAGATGATAATGAATTTTTATCTAATGCTATGTCAGCAACAAAGGCTATTTTTATGGCAAGAACATTTCCATAATAAATATACAATTAAAAGCAACAAACAAATGAATACATTAATTAAATAATAGTTTTAGTATTAATATATTATAAACATTTTACCAATTTTCCCGGTGACACTTTGCTAAAATGTCCTTAAGAGAGTTAATTTTATAAAAAGGCCTTCTGCAGTCATTAAAAGCAGGACAGTCCAAATTCTTAATAGAAAGTATATGTTTGGTAACATATGATAAACTTACAACACACAGTTTAATTGTGTTAAACCATTTTAAAAAAGAGGTTAGAATATAAAGGTTCTTAAAAGGACAACATTTGGCTTACATCGCTATAAAATTTTCTAAATTTGTTTAGTTGAAATAGAATGGAGTCATGGAGTCAGTCTATGGTCACATATACTTCCAAAATAAAAAATAAAGCTTTGCAAACAAAAAATAATGTATTGAGCAAAAATAAATAAATAAATGCAAATGTTCAAAAATCGCAAAGCGAAAATTCATTTTGGAGAAATAAAACAATTTTGCCTTAGGGAAAATAAGGGAAAACTAAGTTTTGAGAAATAAAGATAAAATTTGCAAAAAAAAAAACAAAAAAAAAGAAGAAGAACTCCAAATAAAAATCAAGCAGTGCAAAAGTAAAAAAACAAAACATTTTGCAATATAAAAACCAAACAACTATACATTGCAATGCTAATTTGCATTAGCTTTTGCATTAGCTTTTGAGTTCAATTTGCACTTCACGCTTCTGCGTGTTTCACTTTGTGGCCCTGATTTGACAAGGGGCTGTAAATGCTCAAGGTCTTTTGACTCCACCCCCCTGTCAAATCAGGTACACAAAGTGAAACGCAGAAACATGAAAACAGCATTGCAAACTCAAAGTTGACCAAAAAGCCAATCAAAATGAGGCAATGCTATAAAAAATGTTTTGCAAATATTATATATATATAGTTTTTATATATAGTTTTGTTTTCTTCACCAATACTTTATTTTTTGTTTACAATACTTTCTTTCATTTTGCAAGTATATGTGGCCCTATAGATTGATTCCAGTTTTGGAAATAGAACAGAAAAAGATATATTCATATTCAGGACGTTTTTACTTTATGTAAATGAATGCTTTAGTTGTCGATATTTCATTGATCATTGTGTAAATTAGATGAAGAGGTCTTCAATAATTATACACATTTATTATCATATTTACATTTTATTAGATTTTTTAATAGATTTTAATGAATTAGTTATTATTAGACATTTATTATTAGGCATATTTAGCAATTTACAGACGAATATTAAATATACTTTAATATATAAATTAAAGTTTAAGAGAGAACTGAGGCAAAAAGAACTGATAGTTTTGTTATTGTTAGTTAAAATAATATAAAAAATCAAATTTCATTGATTAAATTTCATAGATTTCACATATAAAGCAAAATAAAATTAAATATTAAAAATTGAAAAAAACACTGCAACCACACACACACACACACACACACACACACAGACTAAACATTCATATAAATATAGACACTTTTCACATGACGTCACGCGGTGTCAAGTTTTACTCCATGGAGTGTATTTTTACTGCCTTTAGAAGATAATATGAAACAATTTTATAAAGAATTTTACTTACGCTGAAACATTCACACAACATATAATATACATTTATATTCTTAGTAGCATCAAAGTAAAAATAAATCTTTTATTGAGAAAATAAACTGAATTAATAAGTGGAAAAGTTGCAAACATATTTTCTTAATAACTTAATCCTATTCTTAATTACTTAAACAATCATTTGAAAACTCAGAAAGCAGTTCAGTATTGAAAGAGAATCATTTTTACACGTCCAATACTTTAACAGACTTAACTAACAATGTGCAATGTTAATATTTTCAGTTGTAAATTTTTCAGAGAAGTATCCCATTCATTCAAAGGTAAACCAGAACTAATAATACACTGCGTTGCCGATAAGGGGAAGTGATGTGACGTCATTGTGAAAAGGGTCTATTCAGACATATAAATAAAAGAGAATTACAAATACTTAAAAATTTAAAATCTAAACTCTAAAGCAATAGTTTGTGAGACAGAGGTCTTATCTTGGGTCTTATTTTGTCTAAACCATTATCCCGTCAATCTACCGCATACCAAACAGGCGCACACTTACTTCTGGAATATAAATATTCCCAGAACTACAGCGAAGGAGATGAGATCAGTGGAGATCCATATCAAGCAGTACTCATCCGGAGTCTAGAAACACACAATTAGAATGAGGCACAAGCACCACTAGATGGCGAAAGAGACAAGGCATTACAGCTTATTCTTGCACAATTACTTGCAAAAGAATATATACATGCTCCTAAACATTATATTTAGTGTGTTTTTTATAAATCACACAAGCAATGAAATTAAAAGAGCTATTATTCAAATTTAGCATTGAGTCTTCATTTACTAACAGTAAGTTTCATTCTTCTGTTAAACACAAAAGAAGATAATTTGAAGAATGTTGCCAAACAGATGCTATTGACTTACATAAATACATATTTTCCCTACTATGGATGTCAATGACTACAGGTTTCCAGCATTTTTCAGATTATCTTCTTTTTTGTTATTTTTTGGGTGAGCCATCCCTTTAGCTAATCAGTTACGCATCACATGTTTACCACAATACAGATTTATATTTAATGAGCTTCTCGTTTTGGCCAGACCAACAGATGTTGACCAATTATGTATCTTAAAAAGTGCCACTGGCTAATGAATAATCAATGAGCAGATGATGGTTTGTACCATGAGCCAGAGCGGATAGTGCAGCTTCCTCAACACCTGCGGGGCCTCAGAGGAGACGGACGGCACCCCGCTGCACCACAGCAGAGAATACAGCCACGGCTCATTCACTGTATACAGACTCACGCTGATGTTGTTCTCCTTATACAACCTGATTAAATAAACAGAGATATATCAGTGGATATTACTAATGATCCACCAATGAATCTTTCTCTTGAATCTTTGATTTTCTGTTGTATCATTTTAAAATAATAATTAGAAACATAATGAAATGACATTATCTTTGTTAAATTGTGACCAAAAAAATCAGTACAGGCTAAATGAAAATGCAAATTCACTTTCTCGCAGTAGGTGGCACTTATAAACAGCAGGGATAACAATGTTTTCTTGATTAGTGCTGTGAGCAAAGCAGCTGCGCTGGTGTTAAATATACTGTATGTTATACGAAGATAATCGATAAAGAAAATACCATTTAAGCTTTTTAGAAGACAGGTGTTCCCCTTATAGATATTTCAGTAAAACCGCCAGAGTCAATATTTAGAATTGTCTTTCAGTATTTCTAGCATAAAGAACACTGAGTTATTACATGTACATTTTTAATACAACCACAATCCACACACAAGAAAAAAAAAAAAAAAACAGATCCGCAATTACATTAAATGTAGCCTATATTAAGTATAGACATTACCTTTAGCTTTAAATAGACTCTTTCCTTTACATATGGTTGAACTATGAGGCAAAACTATTAGCTCTACTTCGAAACTGTAATTATTTTTCAAATATTTTCTAAGAAATATTATTTTTAAATATAATAGTTTTAATAAGTAGTTTCTTTCATTTTTGGTGTGATGACAATACAGTACATCATATTTTTTAAGTTGTTTTAAAAGATACTAGATTTAACCTAAAGGGCCATTTAAAAGCTCATGCCATGGCCACACTAGAGTTTGAACATGCAATTCTGTCATACAACGCTGCGAAAAGGGGTAGGATTAAACAAGATGATTACACATTTAAAAAAGCGAGCGATTGGTTCATGTGTTACATTTCTGTCCGGAGATGTCAGGTTTTGATCTTTGATTGGTCACATACAAACACGTGATGTGATTTTGCAGGACAGAGTTCACCAAGCTTGAACTTTGCAATGCAGTGAACTGCGAAACTTGTCGTACGAGGTTGCGTTTCTGGTCTGACGTATTCGCGTGCGTATAAATGGAAGTCAATGGGGAGAAAAATGCAGTGTGAACATTTTATTCAGGGTTAATTTAGAATTACAAAAAAAACTTTTGATTGAATTTTGAAAATGTAATGAAATCACAGATGGCCAATTTTATTGGTTACATTGAGTTGTTACATGCTCGGCCATCTGTGCTTCATCTCCGGCTTCTTTAAATGCTCCTATTACATACTTTGAACTATAAAGCTGTTGTGATTCAGTTTATATTTAAGTCTAGACCAGAGATGAGGCAAATAAAAATAAGCAAATAATAATTAAAAAAAAACTCTCTACCTGCAAGTTTTGGCTGATAAACTGATGCATCTTGAGATATTCATATACAGTTGAAGTCAGAATTATTAACCCCCTGAATTATTAGCCTCCCTCTTTATTTTTTTTCCAATTTCTGTTTAACGGAGAGAAGATTTTTTTCAAGATATTTCTAAACTTTATAATTTTAATAACTCACTTCTAATAACTGATTTATTATATATTTGCCATGATGATAGTACATATTATTTGGCTAGATATTTTTCAAGACACTTCTATACAGCTTAAAGTGACATTTAAAGGCTTAACTAGGTTAATTAGGTTAACTAGACAGGTTAGGGTTATTAGGCAAGTCATTGTATAAAGATGGTTTGTTCTGTGTGGACTATCGAAAAATATAGCTTAAAGGGGATAATAATTTTATTGACCCTAAAATGGTTTTTAAAAAATTAAAAACTGTTTTTATTCTAGCCAAAACATCAGACATACTGTGAAAATTCCCTTGCTTTGTTAAACATAATTTGTGAAATATTTAAAAAAGAAAAGAAAAAAAATCAAAGGGGGTTTAATAATTCTGATTTTAACTGTACCCAATAGTCATCTTCAGATATTCATACCCATTTTTTGCACTTGTTTGCATTGACTTTTTATGTTGAATTTGGACAAAACTCACAAGCTTACAATGTAAATAGCTCTGTTTGTGCAGCCTGAAATGGCATCATTGGCTCTTCCAGTGGAACGGCACCAGTTTCCAATTTTAGTTTCACCACACTAGTGCAGCTTTTGCTCTTTCTCATGTGATGTATATGTTGTCAGTGTGAGCAGGTGTGTGCAAGTGGGACTGTGGGTCTACCGGACGTCCTGCTCAGAGGCCTGGTTGTAGCGCAGCAGGAGTCTGCTGATGCCATTATGATGGAGTGTATCGAAGGGCAGCTTCTGCATTGAGGTCTGCTGGAAACCTGGAGCCACTTTTCTCACCATTTCCCTGTTACTGTCCACCGTCCACATCACCTACACAAACACATGCAAAGTCAGAAGTAATATAATATTATATATAAACATAATTAATGAATTATTTTAATGAATAGTGTTGACTGTCAAGTCTGAGTTAATAAATAAGAGTTGAAATATAAAATAAAAGTGTTATTTTTGTTGTTATTTTAAATGTTGTCAATTTATTTTATTGCTCAAATAATCAAAAATAAGAGAACATGTAGCTCAGAAATTAAATTATCACACATACAAATGAAGATCTGCTGCAAGAACACATTTCTGGGAAACAGCTCGACAATAAAGAGGAAAACTAGATATAGCACTTTCTGTCCTTTTCGTGCAGTATTGTGACAAACAAACTAAAAACAGGAAACTAAAAGTCTTTAATCCATATTGCATTTACATTTTAGTGACATTTGCAGCATATAATTGAATTATATTGGAAGTAGACTGAAATTCCACAATTCAACAACTTTTTGGTAGACTTATTCAAATAATATTAAAGGGCACATAGTTTACCCCTTTTTTATTATTTAATATTTATATTATGGTTCTTCTAAATGTGTCAGTTTAGGTTCAGTTTAATACACAGTTCAGATGTTTTTATTATAATGTGTTAAAAAGAGTCATGTTGGGGGCATTTACACAGTTTGCTGTTTTAGGGGTGTGTTGCTTCACAGTTTCGGCTTCCCGCCCAACGTAAAAAGGGGGCAGAGCCAAGAGCTTCTACGCTCTGTGTTTGCAACAGACAGGCTGACAGACAAAGAGAGAAACTAAACTAAGCTAGGATGAGCATTCAGCCTTACATGTAAGACTCGGACACAGACCAAGCAGAGAGAACAAAATCATTTGTCTCTTTGTATAGTCTCGGTGTACAAGTGCCGAGCTTGTAAACCGAGACTAATAACCACACACACTGAATTAACTTTGACTGAGGCACCGAATGCGACGCGACATGGCACACCAGTCACTCAGTGACGCTGCAGAAACATGAAGTGTCCCGAATCGTCGCGCCACGCATTCCAGAACTCTAAACACAAGCCTCCACCAGGGCAAACACAACGGCGCCGCAGCTGCCGAGCCGCTGACCTGAAGCTCCGCCGCGTGCACCCCGACAGAAACCCATGCCCAGAACTCCGAAATGCACGGCGCCACTCCACGCAAAAGGTACAAGCAATAATTCTGATTACAGCGATAATGTGGAGAATATTGATCTTGTGTTGAGCCCAATGAGCCCTTCATAAAAAAATAGAGCAAGGGTGTTCCTTTAGTGATATCGCTTTGACTCACACACTGAAAATGGCGGGCGTGCAACAAGAAACTGAGGATATGATCGTAAAGCCAGAATGTCAATCAATATTGGTGGACAGGGGACCGCTCTCCTACGTAATGTTGCGGTTGGTCTGAAAACCGCTCCAATTGGTCCACCGTTTTTATGTTGTTACGGTCTATACACTACAACCACACATGTCTGCCCAAACAAGTAGATTTTTGTCACCATAGGTGCCCTTTAACCAACAAATTGAACCAGATTTTTCTTTCTTTCTTTCCTTCTTTTCTTCCTTCCTTCCTTCTTCTTTCCTCCCTCCCTCCCTCCCTCCCTCCTTTCTTTCATAAACTTTCTTTCAAACTGAACCAAGTATGCAAAGTATCATCACACTATTACTAAGATGATATTTTATGATCAAAGCTCTTTTTTTAGTATACTGTTTTTAAAGTGGGGGTAAAACATAACACAATGAAATACAATGACTATTGAGATAGGTATAAATACAGCCAGATGTATTATATTTAATGCTGCAAAAAGAATATATGATATTCCATACAATACATGATATTTAAAAAACAATTAAGAAATAATCAGTTAAACCAGTTAAGAACAGTATGTACATATTCTATGGTTGACACCATACTCGGTCCAGGAGGGCCAGTGTCCTGCATATTTTAGTTCCAACCCCAATTAAACACACCTGAACCAACTAATCAAGTGTTTTCTAAGTATGCAAAAATTTCCATGCAGGTATGTTGAAGAAATTTTGAGCTAAACTATGCATGACACTGGCCTTCCAGGACTGAGTTTAGGCACCTCTGGTTTACACAATTAAAATCAAATAAAATAAATGTGTAAAAATCACAACCTTCAGAATTAAATCTAATGTCGTTCTCTTCCTCAAGAATGATCAAACTATGTATACAGAATGTGATTATAGAACATTTTAAATTTGCATATCAAATATGGTAAATATGATGTAAGTAACTGTATTCACAGCTAGGTGGCGTGACTATACAACCACATAAAACAGGAACAAACATTAGGATCATATCCTGAATGCATTTATTTCAACCCTAGGAAAAGGACGATGATATATAAAGCATCAAAGTTAAGTCCCTCCAAACTGACCTGTCCTTGTGGTATTCCTGACCCTAGAACAGTGTCCAGGGTGAGGTTGACCCAGTCGTGGTGGTGCGGGTGATTGACTGGTGGTCTGTGCACTGTGAATAAAGCCGAGCTCTTGTACTTAGCTGCAAGTTTAAGCATCTGCTCCAGGCTGCACACAGTCTGGTTTCCCACAGACCAGCGTTCAGTCGTTGACATGTACTGCACAGTCCAGAAGGGATCATCCTGCATTCAGAGACATCACTTTAGACCATAGACCATTTTGAAGGAGGTAAACAAAAACAATGGTCTCAACGTATATCCTATTTTACATCTTTATTTTCTATAGCTTCTGAGAATCCAAAAAGAGCCACATTTTGATAAATAATGCTATGATAGCTGTTTTAACATTAAGTTATGACTGAATTGCCTCTTGTTACAGTTATGAAATAGATTTTTAACAAGCAGAAAACGTCCATGGGCCAATGACATGATATGGTCTATAGGCTATTACATACTTATTCGGCCCCTATGAAAAAAACACTTGCAAAGAAATACAAGCTGTACAGTTAATTTCTACCCTATTATGTTTATTCAACTGAGATTTGATTTAGTATTTGGGAATTTAATTCATGGTTGTGATTTGCAATTGGTGGATCTTGTGATTGACAGACTGTCCTGCCCCAATGTGAGTCAACTGATTATTGTATAAAAAAAAAAGAAAGCAAAACAGAAGGGAAATGACTTTAAATAAAGATTATGTTTTTTTTTTAAAGAAAATAATATTGTTTATGGATGAACCATAATAAATGCAGAAACATTCAAGTGCTAAAATAAACTCCTAGTTGACTAATATTCAGTCTATTAGCCATTATGGACTAAATGCAGGGTTATTATATTTATTTAATTATGTGCGTACATGGAGGGAACATGGTTTAGGTTTTAGGGCTGAGAAATAATGCTATCTTTAACATTGTTCTATATTAAAGAGAAACAATAAAATAAGGTGACTTTTTGTTTTGCTTTTAAAGATAAATAAGCAAAAAAAAAATAAATAAAGTAACAGCAACTGACATTTTAAAAATATTATTGTAATTTTTATTAGTGGTTTAGCTTTTTTATTTTTTTGCATTTTTTCAGTAAAAAAATGTGTTTATTTCTATCATTATTTGTATAATATTTGTATATATAACATAACTAATTTTAACATATTAAAAAATAACAAAGTAAAACAAAAATATCTCTTAATGTAAGTTTAATTAAATTAATATATTTTATTTAATTCCTTAGATGCAATTTAATTTATTTAAAATAAAATGTTTTTACTATATGTTTTTATAGTGTATGTTTTTACTATAAGAACACCGCTTCATTGCTGCCATTTAAATAAGTCCAATTATTTTGACATTTCTGCTTCAGCTGTATTGTAGGCATTGTCTACCTTTAGAAACCACTGGCCGGCATTGAGTGTGCTCAGATCAGTCCAGTTGAAAAGTGAAGCATCCTCATACTGTCTCTCTGGAAACACTCTCCTTACATTGGTGGTTCTCCTCAGCGTCCGGTCTCTCATGAGGAATGGCACACCATCGAGACTACAGCCCAAGCACAGTTACACAGGAGTATATGCGATTAGACAGCACTTAGATCGCAACGGAGAAAGCACTTCCATTAGGGCTCAACCTGGGTTTATTCAACGATAAGAGACCGAGAATAAAACTGAGGAGTGGACTTTAGCTGTGATTGGCTGAAAAATATCTCAATGCACTTACTGCAAAAGAGGGATTTTCAAGGAATAGATGTAGTATTATTATAATACATTATTATTAATTTGGCAAATGCCTTTTTACACAGAACAGCCCACAATATGAGGTTAAATGCCTTGCAAGAGTGCAAGTAGATTGAACCTTTGGGTTACCAGCCAAGATATTTAACCTCTAAGCCACTTAGTTTATTTAATTTAAATACATTTTTATACCAGTACCACCACCTTACAATTCAATTTCGCCAGATGTTCCCAGTCATAGCAACACGTGAAATGGGATTTTTTTTCATAAAATAAAAAAGTAAATAAATAAATAAATAAATAAAAATAAATAAAGTAAAATAAAATAAAATGTAATTAAAATTTTATTAAACTAAATTAAATTAAAAACTAAAAATTAAAATGTAAAAATTAAAAAAATTATTAAATCTATAAAAATAAAATATAAAATATGAAAATAAAATAAAGAATTTAATAAAATAAAATAAAAAAGTAAATAAAATATCAAATAAAACATGAATTTTAAAATATATGAAAATAAAAAATAAATAAAATCAATTGAATATTTAATTAATATCATGAATTGTCCATTAGTGAATAGTATACATTTTGCTTTATTTGTACTATTGTACTATTACAATACAACGAAAAAAACTGAAAAAGAGAGCCCTAAAATCCTAACAAAAGTATCATTCTCAAATGAAGTAAAACAGTATTTTCTGTGTTAACCAACATGATGCCTGGAACTCTTTCCAAAGAGTATCACTTGTATTTTTACTCAGGCAGGAAGTGCCTAAAAAGCCAGGAGATGATATCTCTATCTAAAAAGCCTGAGTGATGACTGACTTTAAGTGAGATAAATTACAACACAACAGATGGACAGTTTCTGCTCCATTATCTAAAGATGCGTGTTAAACAGGAAGAATAGATTACAGCTTAAGGGTGAGCTTCTTTGGAAAGTCTTCCTGTCTCTTCCAGCGTTCAATTACTATGCACTCTGTGGGTAAGAGACGTCACAACCACAACCTCTCATTACAGCCGTCTCACACTGACATACAGCCATTCACAGGCTGAAACAAACACGGTGGCCCTGAGCCTTTAGACACACACACAAATACTGTACATATGCTTCAGTATAATCTATTGATTGAACCTGAGAGGAGAAGCAGACAGAATGAATGTATAAATACCTGATGGTCACATCGGTCTCTAGTCCACTAACATTTCTCTGCAAAGCTCTGTTGAAGGATAAGAGAGTGTTCTCAGGAGCCAGCTGAACAAGAGGAAGAGAAAAAAAATGTAAGTATAAAAATATGCACAAAAAATATTCATTCATTTGCTCGTCGGCTTAGTCTGTTTATTAATCCGGGGTCGCCCCAGCAGAATGAACCGGCAACTTATCCAGCATGTATTTACGCAGCGGATGCCCTTCCAGCCGCAACCCATCTCTGGGAAACATCCACACACACACACACACAACGGACAATTTAGCCTACCCAATTCACCTGTACCACGTCTTTAGACTGTAGGGGAAACCGGAGCACCCGGAGGAAACCCACGCGAATGCAGGGAGAACATGTAAACTCCGCACAGAAACGCCAACTGAGCCGAGGTTCGAACCAGCGACCTTCTTGCTGTGAGGCGACAGCACTACCTACTGTGCTACCGCATTGCCCGCAAAAAAAAACTATAATATATATTTTTTATAATAGAAAAAATAATATATTTGAACCTATTTCTATACTATATATTTGTACTTGTATTTACTTTTAATCATAAACGTATATTTTAGATTTAACTGTAGAAATCTAAATCTATAAAATACACTATGAGTTTTCTTTATTTAATTTACTTTAAATGCGTGTACATTATATATAAAATATAAAGTTAATTATATTATATGTTACATCGTAAAAGACAATATAAGCAACACAAAATACAAATAACTATGATGTTATTAACTGTGCTATATCTATCCATTCAACCATCCATCCATACAAACACATATACACTTGAAGTCAGAATAATTAGAAATGGGGTGAAAGGGGGGATTCTTCCAAAACGAAGATAGAGCAGTAGGAAGAAAACGATCCATTTATTGTAAACTAGGATCACTCTGATTGGATTATTACCTATTACATATGAGCAGCCAGTCGTGCTCAATCATATTATGTGCTCCTCTCGAAATTAGTTTATGAAATTTCACTTGTTTTATTTTGGCTAGAAAAAAATAGTTTTTTTTTTTTTTTTAACATTTTTTAGGTCAAAATTATTAGCCCCTTTAAGCAATTGTTTTCGATAGTGTACAGAACAAAACATCATTATACAATAACTTGCCTAATTACCCTAACCAGCCTTGTTAACCTAATTACCCTAGTTAAGTCTTTAAATGTCACTTTAAGCTGTATAGAAGTGTCTTGAAAATGTCCAAAATATTATTTACTTAAATCATGGCAAAGATGAAATAAATCAGTAATTAGAAATGGGTAATTGAGACTATTATGTTTAGAAATGTGCTGAAAAAAATCTTCTCTCTGTTAAACAGAAATTGGGAGAAAAAATAAACAGGGGGCTAATATATATGTACATTAAATATGTATATATTTCATATAACTGGAGTCTTATCTGCTCAAACTTAATGTACTAAGTATGACAAAAGCTGAAAATAGAACAGTAAAAAAAGCACACACGGCACCAAGAACAAAGTATTACACGTTTGAATATCATGAAGGTGGGAATGAAAAGATTATAGTTAAAGTAAAAAGCGAGAATCTTCTCACCCCGAAGCTAAGCGGTAGCTTAAGCTCTTCCTTGTTATGGATATGAATCAATAACTCATCTCATGGAGGTTGACTGAGTGCTCGAGGGCCACACACACAAAATCTACAGCTCCTCTGAGCTTCATGCTTACGCAATGACATGCAAGCAGCAACTTGAGCTATCAAATGGTCTAGAAGATCTACTAGTGCATGTGGCAAACACAGAAATGCTGCTTTTAAGGCACAGGGAATATATTAAGGATCAACAGCATCCGCATGTGTCTTTGGAGAGCACTTATGGTTAAGACACTCATCTCTGCTTTTCAAGCCAAAACTGCACCTCTGATCTTCAGTTAGAGTCTAGGGTGTTGAAAAAGCTTGTTTATGGGTGTTTATGGCTGTATCTATGAGTGGCAGAGGACAATTACTGTAAGTTCTTTCGAATGGATTTCACACTAATAGGCTAGCTGGTACATTACAGAACTCTACTAAAAGCAAGCCACCAACAAGAATGCAGAGATGGTATTATTAATTTAGTTTTTTGCTTATTTAGATGTAGCCATATTTAGAGGTGGACTCGATTTTTATGTGAAGGAGATAACAGTAGATAAATTTACATTTGACAGATCATTATAATCCAGATCAAATAAATGACCTGCCAAACAAACCCTGCAAAGTTACCAACGGAGCAAATAAACTGGTATTTTGGTTTAAAAATTAACCTCTGATACACTGAAAACAATGAATCAAAGATAAATCCATAGATTAAATGACTTTTCTTAAATGCTTGTAAACAATTTTTTTTAAATTCAGCCCAAATAAACAAATTAAGTTGAAAATTACTAAATTGAATTTGTTTAATTAAATTCAACCCATATAAATTGTTTCGTCCACACTACAATGGACTTTAATTTTCTTATACGAAACATACCCTTTTATTTTCTTTTGCTGAATATCAGTTTTAATAATCAATAATGGCCATTCTAAAAAATAACGTACAATAAGTTTATACATTCATTCATCTTCTTTTCGGCTTAATCCCTTTATTAATCCGGGGTCTCCACAGCAGAAGGAACCAACAAAAACCTTTTGCAGTTTGTAAAGATGGTTCTAACATCGTGAAAAAAAAATCAATTAATGGAAACAAATAATAATTTTAATCAGAGCCTGCACGCGCACACAGACACATCAGCAACTTTTGTCTATTTCATGGAAAGATCATCATACATAAAAACATTACATAATAGGAACAATTTCATTTTTCAATAAAATATGATAGACGAATATATAAATAAATAAAAATTCACATTTTTTTATTAAAACTTAAATATGATTTTCAATTCTATATATTTGATAAATAACTTAAATTCTTTCTCTTCGATTTATAGCCAGAATATTCTTCAAAACACACACACACACACACACACACACACACACACACACACACACACACACACACACACACACACACACACACACACACACACACACACACACACACACACACACACACACACACACACACACACACACCATTCTTTTTGCTTTTTTTCATCATGTTATATACTGAATATTTAATTGCATCTTATGGGTTACAATTATGTTTAATTTGACACAGAATAAAGTAACCTAATATGAATAGTGCCCTGTGGTATTGCCTATTTCAATGTTCTTTGTAAAATAAATAGTTAGTGTGAAATTGGTAAATGTATTTTTTTGGCCTCACCTTCACCTACTTTTTTACTCCCAGTGTTATTTATGTCGATATTAATATTTAGCCGCACCATATTGGTGTTTCGTAACATTTAGTTTTTATGAGGCGAGTTGTTAGCCCAATGCTCAGCCCCCAATCTGGAGGACCAGGACATGCAGACAATTTAGCTTACCCAATTCACCTATACCACATGTCTTAGGACTGTGGGGAAAACCGGAGCACCCAGAGAAAACCCACAGACACGTGGAGAACATGCAAACTCCACACAGAAATGCCAACTGACCCAGCCAGTGCTTGAACCAGTGACCATTCTTGCTCACCATTAGAACAGTAACAGTTTATGCAGAATTACTGTTAAAAAAAACCCAAAGCTACAACTTTATGTAACAAAAATCTCCATGTCATATCATATACTGATAACAACATGCATCACAATACAGCACCATTTATATAAATTCAATCAATGAACAGTTTTTATATACATTGACCACATATAAATGACTATTACTTTTTTATTTAATGTATATAGTTGGACATTTAGTCATTCGAATGTGATCATATTTCTCACTTTATTTGGAGCTTATGGGAAAATCTTTGATGAAAAATGTGGACATGTAAAATAAATATTAATAAAACAAAGCACTTTTCAAAAACTAGTGATTACTGGTCATATTACAGGTCATATTTCTAAATAAATAGCAAAATGTAAACATTCTACTTTCAAGATAGCAACTAACCAACTGCTGTTATTTATGTTTTTGAATTATTTATGCATTCCTGAAAAGCATGTAATATAGTGCTTGTATCAATTATAAAAAAAGTATTACTGTAAACAATATCTTTTCTGAAATCATCACAGAATAAACAATAGAGCATATAATGAAACAACAGACTTTTTACTTTGTCCATACAATAAATAGGTTACACTTTACAATAAGGTTCATTAGTTAAAGGTAATTAATGCATTTACTAACATGAACAAACAATGAAAAATACATTTACTACTGTATTTGTTCATGTTAGTTCACGTTAGTTAATGAAAATACAGTAGTTCATTGTTAGTTCATGTTAACTCACGGTGCATTAACTAATGTTAACAAGCATGGACTTGGATGTTAATAATGCATTAGTAAATGTTCAATTATGATTAATAAATGCTGTACATGTGTTGTTCATAATTAATTCATGTTAGTAAATGCATCAACTAATGAACCTTAATGTAAAGTGTTAACAATAAATATCATCATAAAATTTCACCGGCCAAATTTGAGGTATTCCTTTATCAGAGATTCAATCCCCTCTGAATTAGAACATAAAAATGATGAATACTCTATATTAATAATTGAAAACTATTAATCAATTATGATTAATAAATGCTGTACATGTGTTGTTCATGATTAATTCATGTTAGTAAATGCATCAACTAATGAACCTTAATGTAAAGTGTTAACAATAAATATCATCATAAAATTTCACCGGCCAAATTTAAGGTATTCCTTTATCAGAGATTCAATCCCCTCTGAATTAGAACATAAAAATGATGAATCCTCTATATTAATAATTGAAAACTAATCCTGTCCAAGCTGCTTTAGACTACAAATGCAGAGAGAACTGTACATGAAGCATATTTGCCATTTCAGAGCAAAATACACCAATGACACACGTGATCATTTTGAAAACCCATCATAACCACCAAACCTTGAACAACGCCTACACAGAGATTCTCAGTGGCTCTATCCTGGGTTATATTTAGCCACGACAAGCCAGGGAAAAGAAATATGAGAAAGATAAATGGAGGGAGAGAAAGAAAAAGAGATAGTGAGGGATGGAGAGACACAGGACAGAGATGCAGGAGCAGAGAGAGAGAGAGGGAGAGAGAGAGAGAGAGAGAGAGGGAGGAAGGACTGAACAGCCTCCAGCAATTCTTGATGTAGCCTAAGCTTGATGCAGCATCCAGGGAAGACAGGAAGTGCACAGCTTGCTGCTGATGGTTTGGCAGCTTACCATTGGAGCTCCTTGATGGCCGATGATGGCGGGTGCTGCTTTGAGACTCCCTCGCTCCATGATGCAGGGTGAGGAGATTGACAGAGGAATGAAGTAGAGGGTGAGGAGAACACTTAGGTAGAGGAGCAGAACCATCGCTTGAAACCCTAGAGAACCAACAACTTCAGTTACAACTAGGCCACGGATTAAATAGCTATAAAACCCTTTTTACAGTCAATATGAATGGTGCTTATGTGTTATTGTATCTTCTAGTTGCTAAATGTGTTTAGATGCCATTGCTTAGCCAACACAAGGTCATTTGCAGAGTCATTTTTCATGCTTAAAGGCATAGTTCACCCAAAATAGAACATTTACTTACTATATACTCCCACTTGGATGGTTACAAACCTTAATGAGAAGAATTTCTTTCTTAAATTAATTGCAAAAGAAGATATTTAAAAAAAGGAGCTGAAAACCTGTAAGCACTGACTTTCTTAGTATGAAAAATAAAGTCTATGGTTGCAGGTTTCCAACATTTTTTAAAATATCTACTTAGAAAATATCTACTATCTGATAGAAACAATTTCTAAAAAAAAGTGTGTAAATTTTCATTCTGGGTGAACTATCCCTTTAATGTGCTTTGATGCGATTATTTATATGTTATAAATGCAAGCTAATATACAGACAGATGAAGAGTGCTGATTCTGCATTGAACTCTTGCTCTGCAACAAGAGCATCTGAGCTGAAGAATAGAATTAAGTACAAGTTTATGCTAAAGTGTGCCACTGTTTCCCTTGTGGCAATGCTGAAAACATTACATTCTTGCGTTGCATTATGGATTGCATTCTGACACTATTTTTGGATCGGCAGGCTTGGGTGAAACTAACAAAATCATTGGCATTTAGATCTACTGCTCTAAATTATGTTTTATTAAGCCCCTATCAGCAAATTACATTTTTGAGTGTTCTTGTGGCTCTAAAAAACAAGGAACGATACTGAAAAGTCATGCTTAATTGACATCACATTTTATTTTAAAACGTTTAAACCAAAATCAGTTATTTCAAATTGCAATACTGCTTCACAATACTATGTTTTTGCCATGTACTGTACCGTGCTAAAGCAACCCACCGCGATGGTTAAAGTTTTAATGACCATTAATATTTATGTTTTGGTCTCTTCACCAAGATTCAAAAAGAAATTAAAATAAGAAATATGTGCATAAAACTTTAAAAATATTTTTAAATATATAAATATATATTTCAGAACAAAACTGTTTGAGTGTGACCTCCCCTAGTACCATGCACACACTTAAACTCTTATAGGGATACTAGAATTTGCCAAGATCATTTAGGCCCTGTTTACACTAAAATGTTTTAGTTTTAAAACTGTGTTTTAGAATGAAAACGATCCATGTCCACACTGGGATTTTGGCACTTAGCATTTCGGAAAACATCTCAATCCACACTACACCGCTGAAAATGCACATCACATGACCACCCGCACGTCTAAACTCCATGCAGTCAGCGGGTGCTTTAAGCACACCACCCCAGATTAGAGCAGCGCACATCGCACATTTTATCAAGAATATACCCATAGATCTCATCTCCCCATAGTTGTTAAACGTGATTTAATTAATCTTGCCTCGATCTAACAACTTTTTGGTCTAATCTATCAGGTACAGTAACATGTTTCATATTTTTAATGAAAATAAGAGGCAGTAATGTTACAGGCTCCGCTTTGTTACACATATGCATACAGTGAAAAAGACGGTCATATAAACCGCTACACGAAGCCTCAACATTTTTGGTCTATGTTAAGCTAGTAATATCAAAATGAAAATAGGCAGTTGGTTATCACATTTTTATGATATTAGTAAGATTATAAAAACAAAGAAGCCAGGGTGATGTGAATGAGGTTTTAAAATGCACTGTTCCCTTTAAAATTAAAAAAATTCATAGTTTTTCATATCAAACTTACAAGCGAATGTCTGCAACCACGCTTCCATTTTGAGATGTCTCTGTTTTTCCCCATCCACACTCACAGAGAGCAGCGGCATTTTAAAACCAAAATGGACTCTTCAGTGTTTCCAAAACGCTCAGTTTTCGAGGTTTCAAAACTCTAGGGTAGTGTGAATGGAAGGTGTAACTGTAGCAAAACTTTTGCATTTTAAAACTAAAATGTATTAGTGTAAACAGGGCCTTAGATTAAGGAGTTTTATTTATTACTTGTTTATTTTTTTCTCTTTACAGACAACCCCATACTGTCTTTGTAATACTGTCTGGCTGTCAGTCTTTTATCATCTGCTTTTCTCAGCAAAAAAACTGTTAAAATAAAACTGTTTATGATTGCTAAAACAGTGAATTTAATAGTACCCTATAAGAATTTTATGCAATATTATATTTTTTTCCATAAACACACATCATAAGCTTTAGGAGAAGTATTTTCAAAAGGTCCTGTTTTTACCTAAATGACATAAGCCAGTTTAATCTGCACTTGCGTAAACAGAAATGAGAAATCAATAGTAGTATATTAATTTTCCGCCTAATGCTGTAACACGAAACACCCGTTCATTGACCCAGTGGAGACAGTAATGCGTCTATGTGTGACAGGAATGCATCAATAAGAATGAAGAATTTGTCTGTGTATCCCCTTTAATAATTAACATCTGGTTAATAATAATGTCTAACTCAGAGCTTGATCTTTAAGTGAAGAGGTGGATTCAGCTTACTGGTTTTCTCGGCTCTTGCCACTTGTCCAGCCATCAGCCAGGCTAAAGCAGTAACCGCAGCTAAAGCACCGATGTGCAGGAAGGGACCTGTTGCCTGAAGCAAAAACATGAAAACATTCATTTATTGGAAACATACCACGATAGATACAAGTAAGAAAAGCCTAGAGTATAAAGTTACCTTAAAGTGTCTTTAAAGAAGACTTAAAAGGAAACCTCTAGTATATAATCATACTTTAAAAACCATAAAAACTCAGGTTGAAGTCAGTAGGAAACCAGAAATCATTATGATATGGTTATTTATTATCTAGGAAATACTTATAAATGTTGTTTATTTATTTATTTGTTTTTACAAATGCTTTTTTGTGGAAACCATAATATGTTTTTTTTTTTTTTTCAGAATTATTTAACAAATCAAAAACTATTTCACCTTTATTAGTAAAAGTGTTAATAGAAATAGTTTTTGTAACATTATAAAGTTTTGAAATGGTGTTTAAATGGCAGAGAACGAAAAAATATATAAACATAAATTTCTCTTAGTTAAATTTTTTTTGCCTAAAAGTATTTGAAATATTTCAGATATCTACAGCCATGTGCTCATTATTAAAATGCATTCTTGTTCAGAATAAATATACATTATGAATTGAGCAATAGTAAAAATATATACTGTCATTCTAAATACCGTTGTTCCTAATGCTCCATGTATACAGATGTAACATTTGTTTTAAAGGTGCTGTATGTAGGTTTTTGACTCTTCTAAAGCATAAAAATACCATAATTTGTTTGCAGATATTTAAGAAACATGCCAAGCGAACATTCTTGTTTATCTGAAAAACAGTTCTGAAGTCAGATAATCTGCTTTGAAAAATTGCTACATTGCCAGAACGCTGTCTTTGTTTTGATTCTTTTAACCCACCCAATGCCAGTTAACCCAATTATATTTCAGCACCCCGGGTTACCTTCATGAAAATTTTCATTCCTATTTCATTCATTCATTCATTCATTCATTCATTCATTTATATTCATTCATTTATTCATTCATTCATAAAGGTTCCTGTGACCGAAATGTGACCTTCAGTCGACAACATTCAGACTCCGAAATAAGACGCAGATTCAGAGTTCGACATGAGGTTATTAATTAGCAAATAATATAAATATTACGAACATAAACATTGGGTGAGCAGGTTACATTGTAACCCCATGTCCCAACAACACGCTACGTGATGAGATTTGCAGTGATAAGCAAATTGGCTGTTTGCACCAGACGAAACATTTAAACAGCCATGCAGAAGAACAGAACAGTGCACTCCCTCACAAAATGGTAAGGCTTATAATCTATTTAATACATATTAACCCTGTTTAACATTATTAAATGTACATGCTGAATCACTTATATGTGTGGGTTTGCATTATTTTCCAGTTCTAAAGTTAAACTTTAAATTATTTATTTTATTTAAGCATAGAAACTATGCTTCTGCTGCTTTCCGTAGTATGGCAATAAATGTCATGTAAAATGGCATTTAAACTTGCATTGTTAGCACTTAACGCTGAATAAAGCATGTGGTGTACCTGAGGGGATCATTGTCAGTTTTTTCTGCTGTTAATCTGTGATAAGTAGATGCCGTTTCTAATATATCAATTCAAGGTGTCGGTTAGAACAAAAACTCTTTTTAATATGGTGAATATTCCTTCTATCACAAGCCAGTGATTTTATTCAGAACATGGTTTAAATCAGCCTTTAGGCTCAAGACTTGCTCCTGCTGGTCATCTGGCAACCTGCACTTGCGTTTGTTTTGATCCAGGAATGCAATACCTAGTTCAACAACTGGGTTTCAAACTTAAATACTGCACCTTTAACATGCACATTAGTGTCAATATTTAAACTCATATAACTCATATTGTACATATATACAACACAAAAGCAACAACCTCTGAAAGTGGTCAAATGTAGAAAAAAATCTAAACATTTTATGCTGTCCACTTGTGATTAGATTGAGAAAAATCTTGAAATCAGCTGTAGACAGGGTCTACAAGAGCTTACCTGAAGAGAAATCCAAACTACATCCCATTCCTCTCCCCACATCTGAGTGACAGATATCACACCAATTATTGTGGTGAGCAAAGCGACTGTCACACCAATCTATTGAGGAAAAAAATAGTTCAGTTCATGCAGTTATTTTATGCAAGTCTGCTTAACATTATTCTCAGCAAGTTAAATGTTCCATTCAGTCCATAGAGAAAACACTACTCATATGCCTTTCCAATGTTGTCAGAAAGCCTGAGGGCATAACAAGCTATTTGTGACATTGTGTCAAGGCTAATTTAGTTTGTCTTGCATGAATGGACATGGTTTTCTTTTTTATTCTAAGAAAAAAAAAAAAAAACATTTCAGAGGTTGACAGGTACCTTGTGGACCCAGTGGAGGTTTAACTGCTGCCCAACAGCTACATGGCACAGGGCTAAAATCTGAAGCAGAAAAGACAAATAGCACTTCAGAAAGAATTTAAAATGGACAAAAGGATAAAAGTAACTGCGGCACGAAGCTAAACATTATCATAACTTTAAAATGGTGAAAAGAGATTAAAGTGTAGGTGGTTTGGAGAGCTTTTTGGTACAGGTGCTACTGAACTACCATAGTACGATGGTGATGTTTTCCAAACTGTATTGCAAATACATGCTTTGAACAACATTTGTTAGAATTGTAGTTATTGACAACATGATGACATTCATTTGCCCTCTTCCAAAAAAGCTTCAGATCAAAAGCAAACCAGATTTCTGATATAAATAATTAACATGACATCAAATGACTGCTTCGCTGTTTTACTCTTATTTATTTAGTTTTTTCTTTATGTGGGCTTATGTGGGCACACATACACATGTGCATTGTTAATAGCACTTTAAGTATCTCCTAACTAGCTAAAAAGGCACAGAATGAAATATGTACACTTATGGAATGAAAGTTATAGGCTGTACTGCATGCTGGCTTGCTTAAGTAGATCATGAACATGACCAAATAAAGATGTCCTACAGTGTAATACAATATGGTAAATTGTTCTCTGATATCTACATAGAAGGTATGAGGTTTAGGTAACTTTACAAATTCTCCAGAAATGGGTTTTATTTGCTTTATATACAGAAATTACTCCTAGAATGAAAATCTAAGTTTTGACCATATTTGGAAGGGTGGTATATATTAATGAGCTCTGCACTAAAGCTCCACAGCTCAGTTAATATTTTAGTAAATTGAGTAGGTGCCTTGTTAACCATGAACATGATCTATCCCTACCATGTGCATGACTTATCGAACAGGGTACCCATAGTTGTTGTTTTTTTTGATAAAATGTATGCTCAAATCTAATTATACTGGACAAAATGGACTGGCAGATGTATTTAGAGTTGTATTTTGAAGCTCTAATGTATATGAAAAAAGCAGGAATTAATATCGACCTCTGCATAAAGATGAGTTTTATCAAGCTTATTGGCATACTTTTACTAAAGGAAAATCACAGTAAGAGCTGAGTGATATGACACAATGCATAAATCTGCATTAAACACTTATACTCAGCATGTGTTTACATGTGTTTGTGGCCTCATAACAAACATATCCTGCAAATTTCACAATATATATGTTTAATTAACAAAATATGCATTTAAATAGACCATATGCCTCTTTAGGGGCGACATTTTGCAATCTGACAAGCTAAGAACCCTCCGCTTTAGTCTCTCATTTTCAAAAGTAGAGTCACACTTAAAGTTGAAGTCAGAACTTTTAGCATCCCTTTGATTTTTTCTTTTTTAAATATTTCCTTTTTTTTACTTCTGGAGAGTCTTATTTGTTTTATTTCAGCTAGAATAAAAGCTGAAAGTTTTAAATGTTTTAATAATCAACTTAAGGTAAAAATTATGAGCAACTATTAATAACCTAATTAACTTAGTTAATCCTTTAAATGTTACTTTAAGCTGTATAGAAGTGTCTTGAAAAATATCTAGTAAAATATTATTTACTATCATTATGGCAAAGAAAAAAAATCAGTTATTAGAAATGAATTATTAAAACTATTATGTCTAGAAATGTCCTGGAAAAAAATCTCTTCGTTATCAGAAATTAGAGAAAAACAATAAACGGGGAACTAATAATTCTGACTTCAACTGTACATAGTATGCTTAAATAAAGCTTAGATAGACTAAAAAAATAAGGGAAGAAAATAATCATTGCTGTAATCTCACTAAGAAATGTTGTGGCCAATCGTCATGTTGTGGTGTACATTTTAATGATCATGTGAGGATTGTCGGAGTCAATGCTTTGTATTGATTGGTTTGTTTTCACTAACATTTTAAGCTCATATGATTGACATAAGAACAATAAAACAATATTAGCCATATTCAATTAGCCATGCCTAAATATATTCAGATTTTCACTCTATGGTACCATTAAGCCAATATCTTCCAGACAACTCAAATTTAGAATGGTTCCTAAATCCTATTTGAAAATAACGCCTAAAATGCTGCTTAAAGTTGTATATCCGAACAGGGAAGCTTTTTTGTTTTCCAAGTGACCGCTAGCATTTCTGTTGTTTTTGTTTTTTAGTTTAGCAGGCAACTAACTGGACACACAGAGAGGTCAGAGGTTGGACAATTAACGACAGATATTACCAGCTTCAACTTCACCTGGAATGCATCATTAACTAGAGCTATTAAAGTGTGTAATTCTGTTTGTGAACATTGGTGTGAATGATGATTTCGGGAAACACAGAATCACTGAACTATGTTGGTAACAACAGTTTCGGCAAATGCACCCGAGAGCAGTTACAACTTACCATTAAAAATGCAATATAGGTGAAACCAGCTGCAGTGGTGGCCAATATGGGAACGGTTCCATCACTCCACTCCCCTGAACGGTTATATAAAAACCTGCGGGAGCACAGTAGCGGAAAACCATTTGTTGATTATTTAGCATTAGAATTCCTGGTTGTATCATGTCCTCCATAATCTTCAGACTGCATTAAGGTCTAACCAAATAAACAACCCCTGAAAAACAGAAGCTATTAATCTTTTGACAGGCTCAACATTTCTCACTCTGGCAGGAGCTCAGGATTATATAAGTAGAAGAGGAAGATGACAGAGGCATCTGTTTTACAAAAAGGATCATCTGGCTAGTGCGTATCTTTGAAACAAAGGGAGATAAAAACATGAGGCCCCAGAGCACTGTATCAGGGTCACTGTTGGCTATCTTCAACATGGAGATCCAACAGCTGTGATCAGAAGTGAAAACTGTTGTTTTTATTGTATCGTGGAGTAATAATTTCATAATATTACTGATTGTCATGTACATCTTTTTAGTGGGTTACAGTCTGTGGGAGTTTGGATTTTTGTCACTTTCTCCCTCTCTGTTGCTTTATCACCTTTCGTTCAGCTATTTTTTTCTTCTCTGATACGTGCTGATTGGATCCCGAGCCTGTCACTCCTTATTAGGGCGTTTCCACGTGGACCAATCAGGCTTCGTTCCGCTGACTTTAAATTGGACAGGCACGCTTTGTTTGTTCAGTGCTGTATGAGTGTGTGCCGTGTATGCTCGTTTCTGTTTTTGTATTATGATTTGTTTCGTGTCTCCGAACTAACCCAAACAACTGTAAATTCAATACAAAGTTTATTATTCCTTCTTGGTGGAAAAGGGAATAGATTAACAAGTCACATGACATACAGTTTGCTTGTAGTTATTTGAATTGTTCACCAAACACTAAAGTGGGTGAGCGCCATTTTTATGTATTTTTGGTTATTATTTTTTAGGGAGTGTACTTTATTGTCGTTACATACACTGAAGATTTCAGTTTCTTTTTTACATTTTTATTTTCTTTAGAAAGTTTAGAGGGGATCTTGTGTTCTAGTTTATGTGGCTGTTAGTTTTGTTTAATTTTTTGGTTTGGCGCCACCCTAATTCCTTTTCCCCCCTCTGTAACTTTTGGTTTGTTTATATTTATATGTTATAAATATGATTGCTTATATTTATTTTTAAATGCACTGTACAAAGTGCACACATGCCTCTCTTTTGTTAGCTTTATCCTTTTCCTTATAGAGGAATAAACAAATTAAGTGTTAAGATTGTGTGTCTTTGTTTATTTCCACCCATTTTCTACAGTGATAATATAATATTGTAAATGTTACGTTTTCTCTCCCTAGACAAGTTATTTAATCATAACAAGAGTGTAAACTAGTCAGTGCAAATGTACATAATTATTCCAGAATAGGTTTAATGCTGTCATGTGCTGTTTTTTCCCCACTAAAGTGTACTTGCATTTAAAGAGTATTTTAAAGCAAATTTTGAATATTGGAAATATGTTTTTTTTATTATTATTATTAAATCAGTACCCCTGTTGCAGCGCACTGTTTTTTTTTTCTTTCTTTGCAGCAAAAATTTTGCATGCTCTAGCGCAGGAGTGGCCAACCCTGTCCCTGGAGAACCTCCTTGCTGCAGATTTCAGTTGCTACCCATATCAAACACACCTGAACCAATTAATTACGACCTGAACACCACGTGATAATTACAGGCAGGTGTGTTTGATATGGGTTGCAACTGAAATCTGCAGGAAGGAGGCTCTCTAGGAACAGGGTTGGCCACCCCTGCTCTAGTGTGTAAGAGCATCAATTTGCTTTTGATATTGGTGGGGACCTAATTTAACCCTAATTGTGACGAAATAACTATTTTATCGTGATTGTTGTTTTTTCATAATCATTTGGGAGGCCAAAAATTAAACTAAATTTGGATGAATATGGTATATGCACACAGACTTAAATTTTTAGACAGCCAGTACAAGCATTTCTGGTGAAATGAAGCTCCATTACAAAATCACCACACTTAAGATCTCATTTCTTTTTACAAATCAGCAATCTTGACTGCCTGATTGATATACAATATAAAGTGGGTATGCGACCAGAAAATAAGCACTGCAATAAATATATTTTTTTTTTACTCCATGTCTTGAAAAATATGGAAATTTATGTTACCCCAGCATTTGCAATTGAGTTTCTGCGCTAGTCTGCTGCTACTGAAGGCCGCTAGCGTTTACACTGTCTTTACTCTCGTTTTACGCTTAAACAACTAAATGAATGCTTAAGTCTATATAACTGATTGTATCTTAATTAAATTAAATAATCAATGCTGTAAAAGGGTCTGTGTGATATAGAAAATAGTCACATAAACCTTTCACCGAAAGTTTATCATTGGCTAAAGACATTAGCTGTGCATATAGCCCATTGCACAGCCATGGTTACTATTATGGAGTCATGGCGAACTTGACTTCAAGGGACTTACACTTTCCTTTAAAATGTAGCTCGTTATGTCCATGTCTGACCTGAGTCTTGCAGAGTAAGCCTGACTGGCAAATTTCCTTGCAGTTTAGGTAGAGCTTGAGTTATGAACGAGATTTTACCCTTTCTGTACTAAACATACATGTTAATGAGAGATGACAGAGCTGCAGATGTTGGTGGATACACGTCCCCTCCATCCATGCTAATTCTATGCCCTTGCTAGTATGGCAGCAGTCTAAGAAAGATTTTTGAAGCATTATGTTGGTCTCTAAACTGGAGTAACTGCATAATAAAATACATTAATAAAGAACATTTTTAGACAGTAGTAATATTTCACAGCATCACTGTATGCATCAAATAATACAACCTCATGAGTATAATGAGCCATTCACACAAAACACATTTTTCCATTCCAATACTACTTTTCCACTGTTTTTCAATGTAAACATGACTGAGGTAAGTGCATGACTGTTATGGCCATTTCCACTGTCAAAAGGTACCAAAAAGCGAACCGTACTGTACCACTTTTGAAAGGGTGCCTAGCACAATAAAAGGGTACCAAAAAGGTGGAGCTCGACACGCAGCTGAACGATGTTGGTTTACAGAGAAATGTCACCTGCACTTACACAAGCAGGAGAATGAAAACTAAGGAGCGCCGTTTTTAAAAACACAGCCGAGACATTACTCCATAAGAATATATACATATAATAATGAGCCATAGTTAACCCAAGTTTAAACAAAATTTGTCGTAGTCTTGACGAACAGCCACAAAGCCAAAGAGCAGAATCTACCCTGTGCACCGTAGGTGTTAACAAGGCTGTCTAAAGTGCAAGCCGTTTCACATTCTCACGCTCGTCGTGCGTCTATATTTAATATAACAAACTTCTTAAGCTGACGATAATACAGTGCGCATGATTTGCTAAGTGCTTCTGACATCCAATCCTCTCAGAAATGAACAAACACAAGAGTGACGTGTGAAAAAACAAAGGAAAAGCATGAAAAATCAAATGAGCAAATGATCATTTCAGCAACCTTAAACATGAGGAAACTGCCATGGGTAACTATTATCATCACCTTTTGAACTATTGTGAACTCGGAATGACAGAATTACTTTCTAACAGAGGTTACAAGTGCTGTTGAAGATTAAAGTTACAGATGAGAGGTTTGCACAGACTGTGGGCTATGTTTAGTGTCGTTTTAATAAATAAGGACTAAACCCAAATAAGGACTAAACGTATGCTGTGTGTAGTTTCTGTAATTTGTAACATATCAGAGACTGTAGGGGTCTGTATGTGTTCATATATGTTGCATTTATTTATTTATTTTATGTAATTGCAGACGTTACAGAAGGTTATTTCACCCCATCTATGATCTGCAGTTATAATCAAATCCTGTTCATAGAAAGGTTAGTAATGAACATTTATACACAAGTATTTATGTATATAAAGCATCTTCTCATATGATTTGTGAACGACCCGTACAGCTTTACTTTGACATTTTCTCGAGCGAGACCTGTCACCTGAAACTTTCTGTCATACACCACGTCCACCAAAAGGGTACCATTGGTACCATTTGGCAGTGAAAACGCAAGCCTGATAAAAGTGACCCTTACCGACCCATACCGTACCGTACTGTACCACTGAGTGGAAACGGGCCATAAGATGCCATGTCAAGTTAAAAGTATTTCGACTTTTACAAACAGCACTGCTAACTCAGAGACAGGACAAGCAATGCATTCTGTTTACAGTAGCAGGTTGTCATGACTACTGTTTTATTTGACAGCAACATGGTAAAGGAGATGCTTTTTTATTTTTAGATGCAATGAAGCATTCTGTGTGAACGTCTCCAAAGAGATGCCTTTAAAAACCACCAAACTAACATACTCGCAACAGAATGTAGAATAGTGCTCTAAGTCCAGGATCAGAACAGATAATGGGCGGCCAGATCATAGACACTTTACCGCATAATTACACTTTCAGCATTGATTGGCTGTACTGCAGATCGGTGAGCATTAGCAACCATATCTAGTGTTTGCCCTCTAGTTTGCAACTCGAGGGTGATCACAGATTGTACATGCACAATCCCTCAGGACATTCACTGGAAGTCATTGAGAATCAGGCCTCTTGTCCTCTATAGTAACATCAAGGACTCAAGAGCCTCCCCTGAGACTGGGGGAGGAGAGCGGTGACAATGAAAAGGCAAGAAAAAACAGAAGATGAAGGAATTCAGATGTGGAGAAAACGACCTTGAGGGACACAAAGCAAACAATAGCTTTACTGCAAAGTTGTTTTTAATGTCCTCAAGCAGTTTTACAGAGAATGTAGCTCCTGGAAAGTGGATGATTATACAGTAACAAGTACTGTAAAAATGCCAGGGCATGATTTAATGACTAAACCAACACGGAATGTAAATGTATGTGTGTTTTGATTGTGTTAATGTCACACTGTCTCATGGAGGTTTATTGCATATTACAAATTAACTTTATAAGTCAATGAAGAGACATCATATTTTGGTCTGCTCATCAAATATACATAGAAAGAATATTAAACACAAGTGTCTATTTTAACATTCCGGATAAGTTTTAGGGGGGAAAAAAGTCAAAATATGGCTGAAATAATGTTCCAAAATTATTCAGTGTAAAAGCTATATGTTTATGTAGAAATTATATTAAAAAGTCAGTGAATAGTAAATTGTATTATAATTAGAGTTATTAAAAAAACACAACAAATTCTGACAAATAGGTAAATCCTAGTGGTTTGTAGGATTTAAAATAACAAGTAATTAGTAGGGCAGCATGGTGGCTAGCTGGGGCCAGTTGGCATTTCTGTGAGGAGGACCCTTGGCAACCTTTAATTTGGCCGCCATTCAGTCTTAGAAGGTAGCCTTTTTTTGATAGTTTTTTTAATTGTTGAGCTACAAAAAAAAAAAAAAACTGATTCTACTAAATGTTGTAAATTAATCAGATTTAAAAAATACACTGTCACTGATTAATAGAAGACAATGCAGAAGACATCAGCAGAGGCAGGTGCGGCTAGTGCATTCGCCATTGATCTCCATTGTGTTAAAAAAAAGAATTAAGTTTTTATTATAAGCCCATTATAAAATGTAAGAAAAAAATCTATTGAATTATTTAATATGATTAAATCTGTTTATTAATAATATGAAATAAATTAAGAAATTACCCATAGCAACTTTAATGTAACGAAAACTTAAAAAAATAATTTTGCTGCTTGTTACTCATGCAAATGAGCTTAACACAATTCTTGAGATTTTTTTGGGACAACTTAAATGTTTTTTGTTTAATCCACTTAATGTGCGATTTGGTTTGAGACAACCTTAATGAATTGTGTGGAATCCTGCATTTTTTACAGTGCAGTTTGTTATATTTACTTTCGATGGCACTCAATCAAGTTTGGTTTTAGGCCGTTCATAAGAAAAATTTTGGGCACCCCTGAAGCTGTGTGTGTGCGTGTATGCGTGCGTGCATGTGTATGGGTGATCCCAGTGCTGGTTTACGGCTGGAAGATCATCCGCTATGTAAAAAAAAAATGCTGGAATAGATGGGAGTTCATCCCACTGTGGAGACCTCTGAAACAAAGACTAAGCCAAAGGAAAATGAATGAATGAATAAGCAATTAGTATTTGGGGGCTGCACTGGGAACCTAAATTGTCACTTAAGTCAAGTTTTCTTGTTTTCAATCTGCCTGACAACATTTTGTTATTATTTTGTTATATACATTATTGCTAATTGTTTAGATATCAAAAATCCTTAAAATATATTACTTTCTGTTCAACAAATGAATGAGTTATCTACAATGATAATTAGTTAGTATTTGGTGGCTGCATCGTAATCCTTAAATAGTCATTTAACATGTCATTTTCTAAATCTGCCAGAAAAGATTTTGGTCTAGAAATCATTTTTACACTGAACGTCGTTTTGTTGGTTGTCTTCTGTAAATCCTTTGGCAGGGGGATTATGAGAGTCATTAGTTTTTGCTCAGACAAAAAAAAAAATTTAAATAACACTGACCCGTTCTGTAAACAAGGCAAAAACAGTGCAGCGTATTCACAGCATTAAAGTTAAACGCAATCTGTAATATCTGACCTTTACATGAACTCTGGATTGCTTTAAGCGTAGATGTTATTAAAATTAATTTCCAGGAAAGCTTGGGAGTTTCTTTGACACATGGCTACAGTGAAGTGTATGTGAAAGTGTCCAGTGAACTCACCAATTAAACTCGCTGTAGTCATTGTGGGCTTCCCACCAGAAGTAAAACCACACCAGTAACAAGGAGAAAGTGAAGAAGAGAATGAGGGACCACAAACACTCCCACTGGAATAGAAAAACAAAAACATATAAAAACTTTAAATAAATCTATATTATTAAAATAGCAGTTTACAATTCTCAGCTTTCTTTAGTGCATAATGTTGCCGTCTATGCATTAAAAACACCTGCAAACTCACAATAATCAATATTTCCAGCAAGGCCTAGTTGAGTTGGGTTAGTAGCGTGTTGTCTTGTCCGGCTGTTTACATTCACAGACATAAACACTGAACTTGCGTGTTTGTTTGCTTTTGACATAATTGGTGTGTGTTTGCACATTCTGGCAGTTGACTGTGTTTACATGCAGTTTCAGGAGTTCAAAGTGATGTTTTGTTTGCAGTTTGGAGCGTCCAAGGCACAAGGTGAAAAGGCCCCACCCTCTTCTTGTAAGAGGGCGGAGAGCAGCAGTTTATTTGCATTTGAGGCAACACACTGTAAAAATATTGAATTACTTTAAATTACCGCACAGCTGATTTCACCAAGTAGGACATGTTCCCAGATTAACATCTATGTTGATCCTGGAACAGAATTAAGGGATATGTTTACCGTCTATGTTAAGTTCAGGCTTACAGTTACAGTCTATGCACTTGTACATGACTGTTGTTGTTAACTATTATAATTTACAGTTATCGTTGTGTTTAGGGGTAGGGAATAGGCATAATTACATTTTCGAAAAAAAAAAAAAATGTTCCAGGATCACATTGTACTTAGCAAAATTATGTCATGCATAAAATTACAGTGACAAAACATGCCAAAAGATCATCTAGATTAGAGCTAGAAGACAATAATTCTAAATACTTTCAATTGGGTTTAAGATTTGAGGGGAATTTAATGCAGTGTTTCTGTAGAGCCTCAGGAAATGACTGCATACTCACATGGAACTCAATTAATCAGAATAGAGCTGCTTCAAAAGTGAGATCTGCCTTCATCATAGATTCATTAGCGTAACATTAGTTCTGCTCTCTGCAGGGTATACAGTATAAAAGGGTCTTTCTGTTGTCTCATTTCAGCTTTCTCAACTATTACATTAAGAGAGTGATATAAGATTAATATAATTTACACACATTTTACTCACATACCAATTATGCTTCATCGGTACATAAATCCTTATTTATTAACTGCAAGTGTCTTGCTAAAAATCAAAAAAGGGCTTGCTTTTATAATAAATTATGCAATAAATTGTCAACATCATTTAATACCATGTTACCCTTTATAGTAGCTAAAGCCATATTGGGATTTTTCTCCACTTTCATAGAATAAAACTCTTCCTATTAGCATTTCTCCCACATACATGCACAAGGATTCAAGAATACTCTCTTTGACATACAGTTCCATTTCAGTATATCATTGGCACTTCCCACGCACTTTTTTGTTTGCATTAAAGCAATATTTCTGCCTAAACTGATTATTTCTTTTTGAATGGACTAATGTTAATAACATTTTCAATTCATAGATTAAAATGGAAAACTGTTTGTAAAATTGCTATTTGTAAGGTTCAAGTTCTTGTTTAAATATATGACAAACAAATCATATTATTTATGCATAAAAAATATAAACAAAAATTTGAACAAAATATACTTCTAAAACACACACACACACACACACACACACACACACACACACACACACACACACACACACACACACACACACACACACACACACACACACACACACACACACACACAAACACAAACACACAAAGACACACAAAGACACACAGTTAAAGTTATTAGCTCCGCTTTTAATTTTTTTTCTTTTTAAAATATTTCTCAAATGATGTTTAACAAAGCAAGGACATTTTCACAGTATGTCAGATAATATTATTTCCTCTTAAGAAAGTCTAATTTGTTATATTTCAGCTAAAATAAAAGCAGTTTTTAATGAATAAAAAATAAAAAAACATTAAGGTTGAAATTATTAGCCCCTTTCAGCCATATATTTTTCTATAGTCTACAGAACAAGCCATTGTTATACAATGACTTGACTAATTACCCTAACCTGCCTAGTTAACCTAGATAACCCAGTTAAGCCTTTAAATATCACTTTAAGCTGTATAGAAGTGTCTTGAAAATATCTAGTCGAATGTTATTTACTGTCATCATTGTAAAAATAAAATAAATCAGTTATTAGAAATGAGTTATAAAACTATTATGTTTAGAAATGTGTTTAAAAAACCCCTCTTCTCTCTGTTAAATAGAAACTGGGGTAAAAAATAAACAGAGGGGTTAATAATTTTGACTTCAACCATATGTATATATGAAATAAACAAATAAAAATGACCTAATTAGCATAAAAAAATCTCTTTAAAATATTCTTTTTAAAATAGCATTACTTAATACAATAAAACTAAAATCCATTGGATTGCATTAAAAAAATAAATCATGTTTCTTGTTGCGAAATCAAAGGCAATGCAGAATGACAGCACTTATTGCAATAAGAGTTTCAGAGGAGACACAAAGTACTCGTGCTGTCAATCTTTTTCCTCATCACAACACAAAGAATGAAACCACAGTCTAACACGAGGGAGTAGCAATTATTTTTTTTTTTTCCAGAAACGAAAGATTTACTTGGCTCACAAAAAAGCCTTTAGAAAGCATGTATTAATTCCTAAGCCCCCATCATCCAAAAACACCTAAATATAGACGGATCAAGAGGATTATGGTCAATTCTAGGCAGAAAATATCACACACAAATAAATACAGCTAAACCTGAGATCTCCCACTAGCCTCGCAGCCTGTCTGAATGCACCAAATCAATAAACAGCATAAAACAGGTCAAATGTCAAATGCGGATTTGTTTTTTTCCGCAAACAATTTTCCGACGAGTTTAAAAATGACATCAGACAAAAACAAGAGGAATGTTTAGCACTGACCTGCATTGTGGGCGGATGCAAGGTCTTGCTATGTGGTCACTAAGGTACAAGCATGTGGTGCTAGGCAGCTGCTAATGGAAACTACTGTAGGCACAGCTTTTATTTGAATAGTACCAATATTTACCAAAAAGATAATAGCTTTCATGTTATGACACATAATTCATCAATTAACAACATTGCATTTCTATTTTCATATACTATGGTTAAAAAGTTTATATAACCACTTTTTAAAAACATAATTCATCACAAATCAGACTGCTTTGAAAAGCAAAAGCGCATCACTCTTCAACACTCTGCATAATTTGAAGCATCACTCACTGCAGGATGAGTTCACGAGAGTTTAATAAGAGTTAGGGATTTATTCATGTTTATTCATGTCCCTCATAACCTTGAACCGTAATGAGATGATAGTTGAGTGTATGAATTGATAAACATGGCTGAGTTTTTGGCACTGCTGTGGTTGTAGCAGCAGAACAGATTGCCATGACATCATCAGGGGCAGTGAGCAACAAGCAGGAGACATCTTAACAGCAGAGATTTAAAGCAAATTGTGCTCTAAACGAGAACGTTATCTCATCATTAAGCCTTGAAAAGCTTATTTTAAAAAGCGCTCATTTTATTCCTGCTGATCTGAGATGGCAGCAAATTAATAATTTATTGAAGGCAAAGAGGAATTTGTATTGCGAAACTAACAATTTCCATCTAAAGGAACACAAAACTTGAATATCGCTTTGTGATCATTTGTTTCCTCCAAATGGGTTAAAGAGAACAAAATCTTAACTTTATGATAAACTAGTGTCAAATACTCAAAAGACAAACAGAATTCGATGCGATAGGAGAAGCAACTGCGAGCCATTTTTATAATAAATTAATAATATAATAATATCATGATAAAACACAAGGTACGACACAGCAGTTTGTGTACATTTTGACAGAAAATATATTTTAATCATCACATGATCTGGGGATAAAAATAAAATAACATGACTTTTGATGCGCATGGTATTTGTTTTGTAAATGTGTTTCGATTATAATTGATACACATTTTTTTTTTAAGTTTATTATACTCAGTTGTGTTCATAAGATTTTTTTTAATATGAATTTTCAAAATATATGCATATATTGGCCTTTCAAAATTTTATATAAGCCATAAAAATAGTTAGATGGAAACATAACTACTAATTTCAAATTTCATTGAGATCCTTCCCTTGTATTTTGTCATGCTCTACATCACTTTAATGGTAACACATTTGTGCAATTTACAAGAACTACTAAATACAATACAATACAATATACAGTAGTACAATACAATACAAGTATGCAAGTTAAAAGGGTGTGAATGGCAACTAAGGTTTTGATTATAATCCTCGTGTTTTTGGTACAAAGCAGTACAGAATCAGTAGATACAGAATCAGTACACAGACAGTACTGTACGTTGAGATTTTTGGAATGAATTCGACCATATGAGCATTTACATGCAACAGTTTAACTGATGAAGTCATAAACAAGCTCAAAACATGTTCACTGTATTTTAACAATGCCTAATTCTTTTGTTTATAAAGGATAAACTGAGACATCTAAATTCCTTTGTTGTTTTGACATAAAAGTGGTCAAACATACAGTAACTACAATTACCTAAGTTTACATTGATGGGCACAATGTAATGAAAATGCAAATAAAGTTATGAAAATGATTAATATGCAAAAACTGTTGGAAAAAACATAGCATATGCATGTGAACAGGTTTAAGCTGGTTCTTTACTGCTTAGGACCAGCTTAGGACCAACACATGACCAGAAAAGAACCAGTAAGAACTAGTTTAGAAACCAGCAACCATATGTCACATGCCACTTAATATGCTAAGGGGAATGTTTTTTTAACAGGTTAATGGGCATTTTCTTCCAAACCTATAATTCGCCATGCCTGTTCAAACATTTGATAAGGAGGTAAAAACAGGAAAGACAATAATTATTAGGAAACCAAGTTAAAATCAAACAATAATTCCATTTAAAACGATCCCAGTAAAGCTTTGCACGGCACATTTGTTTTATTGCTGTAAAAGTAAACACACTGGACCCTCGCTAATTGGTTAAGGTGGGGTGACATGGCCATGGTTACACTCACTGCCTTTAATT